ACGGGGTGATTCAAACAATTTCAGATTTTGGAGAAATAAAGTCACACAGCTAATTGATCAAGCCAAAACATCTTATTACAAATCAGCTATTGAAGAAAGCTCAAATCCTAAAGAAATGTGGGGTTATTTAAACAAGTTGGCATCTCCAGACTCCAGTAACTTTACACCAACTCGTATCACTCAGAATGGTTCTGATTTTGAAAATGTACAGGATATAGTTGATATTTTAAATAAACACTTTACAGAGGTATCCAGTAAATTATTGTCAGATATGTCAGTGCAAAATTTTGATTCTAAATTATTAGACAGCTTTACAAAATCAAAACTTGGGAATGAAAATTTTTTCAGTATTCACCAAATTAGTGAGACAGAAGTATTTAATATGTTAAATGCACTAGATGTAAATAAATTCGCAGGTGTAGATTTTATTGGGCCTAGTCTACTAAAACTTTCAGCAAATGTCATATGCAAATCCATTACACATCTTATAAATGCTAGCATCATTAATGGGGTATTTCCATCACATTTAAAAATAGCAAAAATCACCCCTATTTTTAAGAGCGGGGACCATGCCGATCCAGGAAACTACAGACCTATATCAATTCTTCCAACATTGTCCAAATTATTTGAAAAACACATAGCCAATCAACTCCGGGAATTTACCACTACCTTTGATCTTATATATAAATCACAATCTGGTTTTCGAGAGTTTCACTCCTGTCAAACAGCATTAACAAAACTAACAGACAATTGGTTGCAAGCTATGGATCAAGGAAATCTTGTAGGGATAACTTTTCTAGACTTTAGTAAAGCATTTGATTTAGTCAATCACGATATTCTGATAAACAAACTTAAGTTGTATCACTTTGACCAAATGTCAATTAAATGGTTTTATTCCTATTTGAGCTCCAGAACACAATGTGTAAAATTAGGTACTTATTCCTCTAAATTTATGCCCGTCACAGCAGGTGTGCCACAAGGTTCTATTTTAGGGCCACTTTTATTTTTACTATATATAAATGATCTTCCTCTACATGTAAATAATACAGATATTGATTTGTTTGCTGATGATGCAACTTTACATACATATCATAATAATGTGCATTCTATTGAAAATGCCCTAAATGTTGATTTGTGTGAGATTGAAGACTGGTGTTCTAGAAATCAAATGGTGTTGAATATTGAGAAGACAAAATGTATGCTTATGGGGACTCAACATAGAAAATCTAAATTAACAACTTCAAAATTAGATTTGTGTGTATCAGACAAAGTTCTTAAAAATGTTGAATCAGAAAAACTCTTGGGAGTACATATTGATCATTCATTGCGCTATATTAGTCATATTGATTCTGTGTGCAAGTCCTTGACGTATAAACTATTTACATTACGTAAAATTAAAAAATTTCTCCCATTACACACGCGGAAACTTTTTTATAATGCATACATTCTGCCATCTTTAAATTATTGCTTAACTATATGGGGCAATGCTCCAGGTGCTGGCATAGAAAGAGTTTTTAAATTACAAAAAAGAGCAGCAAGAATTATATTAGATGCGGCACCAGATGCTCCATCACAACCATTATTTGTGAAACTTGATTGGCTGACTATATATGAATTAATAGATTTTCACAAATACATACTACTTTATAAAACACTTCATGATATGACACCTGATTATCTGAGAGACTCGTTTGAATTTATTTCCTCCAAAAATTATGTTTTACGTTCTGAATCCAATTATGACCTTAGTCTACCAAAGTATCGAACAAATCTGTTTAAAAATTCTTTTCAATATTCAGGCGTTAATTTATGGAACAAATTACCTCTACATGTACGTTTTTCCCCAACTGTACAATCCTTTCGTAAAAATGTGGAAAAATTTATCATCAATGGACGCAACATTTCCTAATTTGTAACTTTTTCTATGTTTTGATAATACATTGTATATACTTTCTTTTTTTCAAATGTAATTCACATATGTAATATACTTGTAATATTTCTGATTATTGTACTGTTGTATACATAATTGTACTATCCATGTATAGAGGGCCCCGAGGAAGACTAGTGCATTGCACTAATCGGGTTACCCTCTTTAAATAAAGTATTATTATTATTATTATTATTATGCCTGATCTAAAAATACTTATAATATTAAGTCAGATTTTGAAAGATATTTCGAAACAGAACTACTCTGGAAAAATTAAAGAATCTAAAACCATTAAAAAGAAAAGTAGCCGTGAATCATCAGATTATATTTTCTCAAAGTATTTAATGAATTAAAATATTTCAAGGGACTTTGTCTATATTTTAAGTGGATATCAACGGTCAGACATTCATTTAATTTCAGTTTCATGTTAAAATTAAGAATAGTGATGGTTCTCATAATAAAATGAAGCAATAATGTATCGTCGTTACAATAAACTTAGAATACATGTACTGTCAAAGTGATTACGAAAGTTTGACGATTTCTTCATCTTAAGAGATTGAAACTTTGATTTTTTTTAACAGTGTTAAATAATTTTTTTTGTCTTACTTATATTTTTCACACCTCTACCAATTCTGCAAACGAGTATCAATGAAATAGCGACCCGAACATACTAATCAACGCAAATCGTCATTTTGAATTAAGGAGGCAGATATTTCTTATTCTTTTAGATATGATATCTTATGCCGTCAACTATCATTTGGCAAAGAAAAACATTCATACATTTTAGTTTTAAAATTTGATCATTAAAAAAACTTTATATGGGGCTCTTATTAGGAGATCAATATAATCTAAATATGGCCACAAACACCCAGTTCTCTTAAAGTTTGCTTTTTCAAGTTTATTACTTTTTTTTGCACTGTTAATCTCAATAGGTTGATTGTGTTCACGATAAAATGAAAAAGTAAACTTGAATCTATACAAGCCATTGGTTTTGTGTACATTCTGTTTCTACAAACAGAATAGACACAAAACCAATGGTTTGCAACGATGGCTTAAGTATAAGTCACATTATCCAACGATGGGGTATACGATGAGAAACCGATGCGTTTTTTGATGAAAATGGCGTGGTTGCCGGCCGGGCACCACTAGTGATCGGACGGTGACTGAGTCTTTTTTGTGAATCGGTGGGGTCATCGGTAGGAAATAATTCGTAGTTAAAATTCAGCGATGTCTCCAACGATGCCTCACATCGCTCCTCATCGGCAACCAATCATTAACACATCTTTCAAGATCGGCCGATGTATGGCCGAGCATCGTCCAATATCCGTTGAATCTGAGGTCATCGGAGGGTTGAGTGGTGTTCAACAGATAACGACCGATCATCAGACGATGTTCGACCAAACATTGGCCCGTAGTCGACCGATGTACGAAAGATGTTCACCAATGTATGAGCGATGTAATATACATCGGCCGATTATCCTGGAACATCGTTTTATGATTAGCAATGCATCGCTGAACCTTTGTAAGTCCGGCCGGCAACCACGCCATTTTTCTCATAAAACGCATTGGTTGCCCATCGTATGCACATCGCTGGGTAATATGACTGATACTTTTAGGACTAATAGGCCGATGTGGACCGATGTTGGGGCATCGTTCACACCACGGATTACTACCGATTACCACCGGTCTACGGCTACCGGCCGGGAAATGTGACCTAGGCATAACTTGATCCTAAGTAGTAATTGCATATCAAATTATCGTATAAAGGAGACGTTTAAAATGTGATTGACTAAATCAATAAAACAAAATCAATTGCAAATGGATATCTCATATACAGCTCAACGCACTTTTTAAACTCACATGGATTTTCGCACAAATTAAAGTCACATTTTTCATGCAATAAAACTTAATATTATCGAGTTTCAGTACGAGACATAGTCTTTATATTATTAAATATTTTATATTTAAGGTGCATATTCTCTAAAATCATTATCTAAAGTTTTAAATGGCAATGTTCTAAAAAGGAATTGATTTATAAATTGTATGATGTTAAATGTGTATGGTTCTACCAGAGGTATTAAAAAATTAATTAATCGAACTTTTTTTGAAACTTTTTGGTTGATATGTTTAAATTTACTTCTTACAGATGAGTATTTTTCTAGGTTCTTAGCACATTTTCCATACTTGTCTTGGTTTTGTAGAAATACAGCGTCGACGAACGACAAAACTGCATAAAGAAATCATGTGAAAGGATAGGATGATAAAATATTGTTTATCTTTCAACATAGTAAATTGTAAATATTGAAAAGAAAATTCTTTTACATTTCTGGTCTAAAACTTCGAAATTTTGCGTTGGAAGTTATCTTTCATGATGCTAGATTTCAGGAAGTTAACCAGAAAAAAATGCCATCTTTTAACATGTAAACCAGTCGGACAGATGAGAAATACTTCTTCCATCTTGCGGTTTAGTGTCGTATTAATGTATGGAAAATACATAGGTACACTGAACTACACTGTTTCCGTATTAAGGCAAGGCAAACGTATGCTTTAAAATGAATGGATACAAAGATGGTTGCATTTGACGAGAAACCATGAAAAAAAGATTTGGAAACTCTCATAATTAATCCAATTATTATGTGTGAATTATGTTTAAAGTAATGGAATATGATCAAAATTAATTTATAAATCATTTTTAAAATATATTTTGTTGTCATGTTACACAATTTTACATTATAACTATGAGACCTTAATTTGTGTGAAAAACCACACACTGTGAGTTAAAAAAGTGCGTTGAGCTGTATTATTTTTATTTTATTTAAAACTAGTTTAGTTTTCCTATTTATAAAGTTTATATATGTTGTATACATTGATTTTATCTATTTCTAAACATATCTGATTATATATATATATATATATATATATATATATATATATATATATATATATATATATATATATATATATATATATATATATATACACAGGGTATATAGATTGATGAGGAAAAAACATACGTACTACAAGTCAAGAATTGTTCAGCATGTGACAACAGAATAAATGGGCATGAAAAGTATCTCAGTATTGTAATATATCATATTGTTTTACATGTATAATAGTGTTTCATCATAATCGCCTTAAGATTCCAAGATTTTTTTTTTATAAACACAATTATTATAGTCTACTGGAAGCCGTAAACTTGCCGGTATCATTAGGGCTTTTAGATAAGAATGGTCGTCTTTCGTTTTTCCTCTTTAACGTAAACACCTTAATGATTTCTTCAACAGGTGGAGCGACAACAGAGTAAGTTGTTGCAATAACCAATGCGACGAAAAAGAACAACATCCAGCTGTAGAGCTGGTCTGCCGACAACTCCTCGAAAGCAAGCATGATCCCTGGTATTAAAATTACCTAAAAGGAGAAAGAATTAAAATAAATACAAAGAATGTGGTGTTTGACTTTTCGAAATTATAAATAATATTATTATGTCTTGAGATTTTATACGTTTCTTTGAAGTTTCTGTTATCATTGATGCATGTGCTTGATGAAAATATACATTTGTACGTATATTTCCATTTCAATATTTTGCTTCATGAAATGAAATTCAAAATTTAGACTTTAAAAATGTTGTTTCAGATTTAAATTACAGGAGGCCTCCCATTTCAATTTAAATAGTCCCCGCCCACTGACGTCAAACACAAAGACAGCCGCACGAGATTTACATGCATATTAGGCCTCCTTAACTATCGCTCGGTGAAAATCACATTCTGGTTGAATTATTAAGAAATCATATAAATTACTTCAAAGAGTTAACACAGAGAAAAGAAACAGAAATGGAAATATACATATATATTTAAAGTAAATTTTAGTGAACAATTTTAAAATTTATTAAGTCTTTAATGATGTTACACGTAGATATGTTTAAGAACATTTGTATTTTTCCAGAAATATTTTGCTTTGTTTCTCAAAATATTTTTTTAGAAAAAAAGGGAAAAATAGGGAAAGACTCATATGTTTCGTATTTCAAAGTATATTTTTCTTTTAGATGTTTCTGAGATTAAAATCTCTGTTTTTTTATTTTGCATGGTGTTTTCAAACGGGTACTGAGCTAACTACAATAAGGAAATCGCTTTCTGTCAAATACTGTAAATCACTATTTATTCGCCAGAACTTTATTTTCGCGTAATTACGCGAGACAATATGCTCGCGAAAATTTCATTCTCGCGTTTGATAGTATTCCTTAAGATTATATAGAGCAATGACCACAATTCGTGAAAATTTTGTCTTGCTAATAAAGAATCATTGACTATATCGCAAAAATAAGGTGTCGTGAAAATCAGATGATCCACAGTAAAGTATCACCTGCACAATTCCACAAACTAGTGCTCCGAAAAACGCCAATTTCTTGGCCTTCCGGAAAATCATCTGCATATCTGAGACCGTCACGTCTCGATCTTTGGGAATTTCAAAGTTCTCGAGTTCCTCTTCGTACAACATCTTCCATGAGTTGATAGGATTATCAATTGAAATCATTTTCGCCCATTCCTTTTCTTCATCTGCTTTGCTTTTTATTGTATGAGTTGCAAAGGAAACAATTATTGTCACCAAGGTACTAACTACAAGTCCGGCAATGCATGCCCCGAGCAAACTGTAGTCAGAGGAAGTTGTAACAAAGAAATCGCTCAATCCCGCATCATAAGCCACCTCAGCCACAATAAGGAGAGCAGCTATCGACGCAATCAAGCCTGAAATAGCTCCTATTTAATAGAAAGAAGCAATTGCATCAAGAATTATGTGAGAAAGTCTTCGTACTTGTGATCTGAACAATACTGCGATCTTCAAACTCACCCGAAATCAATCCTTTTGAGGTGCATTTTGACCAAGTGAACGTCAATACCAGAGGTGATATAAACGGGGTCAAAAGACACTCAAAGACAAAGAATACCCAAGTTAAATTGAGATCGAGGTTTGCTATAATTATACCGTAAGGTATAAGTGCTAAGGAGATCCACATGATTGTCCAGCCTTTATACTCCTTCAACATGTCCTCATAATGACGATATTCGCCATGGATTGGGCATTGGTAATGGAGCTGATATTCTGGACGGCCCGAGGTGCACAATTCAACATCAGCAACACATTTCGAGCACTCTGCTGAATTAATGCATTGACAGTAAGACCTCTCTTTATCACCCAGAGAAAATTTCATTGCTCCGCATAGGGGACAGGCCGTGGGACCACAGTCCTTTCTGTAAACAGAAAAAATGGAATAAGACTGTCATGTTTAAATATCATTTTATAAAATTATTTGTTATTTAAGAAACATGACTCATGCTCAACTACCTGAATGGACCTAGATAAGTTTTATAAATATCGTAGATTATAATGGAAGATGCAGCTATTACTTCTCCAGATCCAGTGGCCATCAGCGCCATGAAGATGATCATCAAAAGTAAATATGATCCACTAGTATCCAAAACTTTCTCCATTACAATATTTGTTATGAAACCTACAAGAAAGTAAGTTAAAAAAAAAATATCAGGACCTTAGGCAAAACTTCGAGGTCTATTCAGGAAATGCGATAAGTTTATCTAAGGACAAAAAACCCATGTAGCAAAACAATATTGATAAAATATCCCTTTGACCTAGGAATACGAGGTATCCGAGTGTATTATTTTGCAGAGTAAAATCGGACTAAGATGGGGTTTCAAAAAGGGTTTTTTGGTTTAGGACAATTTTATCCAGTTGGACAATTGAAGACAAGCAATATATTGTAAAGATGACCTTACTAAAATGGCACAAATCGGATTAAATTGTTTTGAAATTAGTTTTACAGTATAAATAAAAAATATATACGAATCATCATTTACAACATTAAAAAAAGACTTTTATTGCGTTGGCTAGCAATATTGGTTTTTACAGCATTTTCCTATGAAGAACTTTTGATAATATGTTATCTACATTAAAGAAGAAAGTTTACCATTATCCATATCGCTCTGCGACAAGAGGTAAGATCCATTTTGATAACTTAGAGAAACATAAGAAAGAAATGTAGGTAGAGCCAACGAAGTCGGAATAGAGAAGTATAAGAAGCACCCAATGAGAAATCCGGTTACTCCTTGTTCCGGCTTGGCTGCAATTCTGCTCTGCCACATAGCTTGATCGCAACTATTTAATGCAAGTACCATGAAAAACGCAACAACTCCATAGGTAAAACCGGAAACGGAGCGAAAAGTTAAAAGTGAATCGGCAGCATTCAGAGAAGGTCCTTTCACACAACGAACTGATTCATATATCGTCTTGATATTTGTGACATTTCTAACTGCTTCCGGAAGGTCATCGGTCGGAGAAAGAAACTGCCAAGAAAAAATGGCCAGAGCGATGCACATTAGGGAGGTGTTGAAATAAGAGATGTAGAAAGCCGCCCCCAGTCCCCCGATATAACAATAGGAACCAAACAAGAAGACGAGGATCAGGACCGACAACTCCGTAGAAATTCCAGGAATTACGGCCTCTAGGATATACTTTCCGGTCAATATCATGGACGTAATTGTGATGAGATTCGTGGCTAGTGCAATGCAGCAGTATACAATGTGAGAAGCCTTTCCATATCTTGCACAAACAACCTGCAAAATTTCATGAAAGATTGATATGAGTTAGTATTAACATTTTAATATATATGCACCAGATTACTAAAACATGTATTTAAATTGCTAGAAATTCTTAAATGTACTTAAAAAGTGTCAATTTGCATTGCACGATGTCAGCTTGCAGCAAAGTCTAGATAAAAACGAAAATAAATTATTACTTATGGGAAACGAGTGGTGTTTTATTGAAATAATAAGGGAAAAAGTCTTCATACATGTAAGGCATTCGCAATGCATGGTGTCTATATACAACAATATTTATTTGAAGCAAATTATGAAAATACTATAGAACACATTTTGCTCAAAATTTAAATTTAATTGTATAATAATGATAAGGAAAACAAAATGCTACAGTCTAATCTTTCATAGTGAATTTCTCAATTTGTTAAATCTTTCCTATTCTATTGATCATGATTTCTACTAACTTTAGGGTTGCCTGCATATCGCAGTGGTTAGAACATGCATAATTGAGTCGGGAATAACATGTTAATTTTTTGGTCGCGGGTTAAAATTCGAATCTACTGAAGGACGTGCATGGAGACCTATCCTTCGGATGAGACCGTTTAACCTAGGTTCCTTGTCACAGTACATGTAGATACTGACTCGAAAAAATCCCTCAATGCTTAAAGACTTTGCAGCCCGGAACGGCGAGTGATGGCATCTCAACATGAGTGAAAATTTCTCGAAGAGATATTAAATAATGTTAAAGGTAAAGATATTAAACAAGGAAAGAAAGAAAGTATATTTAGACTGTGACCGGTCAACGGTCAGTTGAAAATTAAATGACGTCCTTTCTATTTTTCGTTTTTAACATGTTTTACTCTGATGCATTGAACAGAGGTTGTGTCGAATTTGGGGGGAGAGGTTCATCGCAACGAGCTGTAATTTTGTATTTATACTTCAGAATCGGGAAAATACAAGTACAAACAGTCACATTGATTAAAGACTCGCAGTGAAAAAAAATTGAAAAAAGTCTTGTTTATAGCTGGTTTCAGCGATTTTGGGGGAGAGTGATGGGTCATTTAATGTACATTAAGATACTCTGATAAGAGAGATAACTCTTTTTTTTTTTTTTTTTTTTTTTTTTTTTTTATTTATTTACAGAAACAACACATTACATATATGTTCAGAAGCAAACATTTAAATGTAGTTAATGACACACTCACATACAGACGTACACACACTTACATACAGAGTGAGACTCACACAATATTACATGTGGAAGGGGGGTGAAATAAATATCAGTCAGTATAACAACAGTATAAAACTCCAATGCTTAGTCATTAAATAAATATCAGTCAATATAACAATAGTATAAAACTCCAATGCTTAGTCATTACTTTGAAAAAGACATTTCCAATTAGACCATCTTTTTTCAAATTGTTCAACATCATATACTTTTTTTTCTATAACAAAATAATTACTCAAGTACAATAATAAATCATTAAATAAAATGGTACACTTTTTTCTTGAAGTTTGAAAGATATATTTTTTTACTAATACAATAATAACATTCAAACCCACATCAATGTCTGCAGTACAGAGGATTACATTTTGTATATTAAATTGCAATGTTCTACCAGATTTTAAACAAATCCAATCTTCTAAGGATGACCAGATTATCTTGACAAAATCACATTCAAAAAATAAGTGTTTTAATGTCTCAGGTTCCTGTGAGCACAGTGCACACTTTTGATTATCAATAATTTTTGAAAAAACAAATATCTTTTCACACCAAGTATTCTATGTAAAATTCTATATTGAAACCAAAACAATGTTGTATCTTTTGTTAAATTTTTAAGATTAATATAAACTTGATTCCAATTAAAGTCATCTTGTAGTGATAAATCATTTGTCCATTTCTTTTCACACAAAGGTTTATGTTGTCCTTGGGACATAAACAGATCATATATTCTTCTAGAACCTTTTTTATCTTTACACAAAATTGTTATAAACTCAAGCTGGACTGGTCTTGTTACTAAAGAAGGATCCAGATTTTTTACTTCTGGCATTGCACATAAAATAGCATGCTTAAGACCTTCATATATGGTAAAGGGCATTTTTACATTAAAATAATCTTTTAATTTATCATAAGAAATAAAAGTACCCTGGCTAATGAGCAAGTCAGAAACTATATGGAATCCTTTTCTATATAAAGATTTATAAAAAACACTTTGGTTTTGTATTTTTATTTTTTCATTGTACCATAATGGTTCCAATAGTGTGTTATCCTGTATTGCAGATGTACAAATATTAATAAAATCTGTAAAATATGAGAGTGTTTCTCTCCAAAAAGGATTGGAAATTAACTTTACTTTTTGTCTAATGTATTCTGACCCAAACTGACACATCTGTGTGACATTACAACCAGTAATTTCTGTAAACAATACTGCCCACTGTGTTGCGTTAGTAGAAAGTATTCTCCGAAACCAAGTAAGTTTAAGAGATTTTATAAAAATTTCAACATTAGTCATTCTGCATCCACCTTTTTTAAACTCTGACTGTAATGTTTTTCGGCTAATCTTATCAGGTTTATTGCCCCAAATAAATTTAAAAAGTAATTTTTCTAATTTTTTAATCCACTGTACGCTTGGTGTAGGCAAAACACTGAACAAGTGAGTAAGTTTGGACAGTAAAACACTTTTAACAACTGTTATTTTGCCTAATGGGGTAATATGTCTTTTAGACCACTGTGTTATTTCTTTTTGAATCCCAACTAATTTGCTATCAAAGTTCAGTTGTTCCATTTCTTTAAGATTTGCAGTGTAAGTGATACCCAATATTGTAAATGGTTGATTAGTCCAACTTAGATCTGTATTATCACACAGTGTTTCATTTGAACCAAGTTTTGAGCCAATCCAGATAGCTTTAGTTTTACTAATATTAGGCTTTAAACCGGAAAATTTTGAAAATTGAAAAAGAAGGTCAAGTGCACTTTTTAGACTTTTTTCTGAGCCATCTAAGAACAGTACTGTATCATCCGCATATTGGAGTAAACAAACTTTTTCCTTTCCTATATTTATTCCTTTAATATTTTTGTTTTGTCTAATCATTATACCCATAATTTCAACACAGAGATTAAATAAATAAGGGGATACAGGATCTCCTTGGCGACAACCTCGTCCAATTAAAAAGAAATTAGAAAAAATACCATTTTGTAAAACACACAGTCTAGCTTTGTTGTATAAAACTGATACCCATTTTATTATATCAGGGCCAAAATTAAACAACTTTAGGGTCCTATACATAAATCGCCATGAAATTGAATCAAATGCCTTTTCGAAATCAATAAGTAATAAGATACCTGGGATCTGTTTTTCAAGAGTATTATGGATTGTATCATAAATAACTCGAGTATTTTCTCCTATAAATCTACCCTGAAGAAAGCCCTTTTGATTGTCATGAATTAAGAAGTCCAAGACCTTTTTTATTCTATTAGCAATACATGAGGAGGCAATTTTATATGATACATTTAGTAACGAAATAGGCCGCCAATTTTTAAGGTACTCTCTTGGCTTATCCCCCTTAGGGAGAATAGAAATAATACCCTGCTTCTGGGTCAAAGATAATTCCCCTGATATAAATCCATAATTAAGAGATCTGACTAGAAAAGTTCCCAAATCTTTCCAAAAAAATTTGAAGAATTCAACAGTAAACCCGTCACTTCCAGGACTTTTATTGTTTTTCATATTTTTAAGTGCTGTAAGGGCTTCCTCTTTCGATATCAAACCTTCAAGTTCTGTAGCGGTGTTTTTATCCAATACATTAATATGTTCAGTATTAATAATGCTTTCCAATTCCACATCGTGTAACTTATTGTCCACACATGAGTATAATGCCTTATAAAATCTTTCAATTTCGGATAGGATATCCGACTGTCCAGTGACAATACCATTATCTGTGAGAAGCTTATTTACAGTTTTATTTATATAATTTCTTTTCTCTAGACTAAGAAAATATTTAGTAGGTTTCTCTCCATATTCTATCCATTTAAGCTTGGTTCTAGCAAATAGTCCTTTAATATATTCTTTTCTAATTTCTTCGAGTTTGGTTTGTGCTTGTTTTAATTTTTCAAAAGTGTCTGGAGAATCACTACTATCATTAAGATCACTTTCTAGTTTAATTATTTCTTCCTCGAGAGATTTTCTTTTATTTTCTGTAAGCTTCTTTTTTCTAGATGATAAGGCAATTGTTACTCCCCTTATTTCTAATAACAGTTGTTCAAAAAATAATTGATCATCTATAGTCAAGCATAAATTTTCATCTGATATATTCTTAATTTCTGAAGGCTTATATGGGAGAGCAGCATATTTCTGTTTAACCGTATTTATTGTTTCTTTGACTTTATCAACATAGACAGGATCATTAAGCAATGAGTTATTAAATTTCCAGAACCCCTTTCCTCTTTCAAATTTACTTAATGTAATGCTAAGTTCAATCATTGAATGGTCTGATCTATAGCCCGGACTTATGTCAACTTTATCGATAAGTGCCATTAATTCATTTGACACCAAAAAATAATCTAGTCTAGCTTTTTTAGTTGGTTTATTTTTAAACCATGTATACCTCTTCCGATTATTATACTTAATTCTCCAAGGATCAACCAGGCCAAGTGTTTCCTTTAAATCCAATACCACTTTTCTAGCTTCTGGGTTATTTACATTGTTATAGTTATAGCAGTCTAAATTTTTATCTTGTATCAGATTAAAGTCCCCTGCCATAATAACAAATTCACCATTAAATTCTGATATTATATCAAACAAAGACTCATAAAAAGATGGGCTGTCCTTATTTGGACCATACAAATTAATTAACATAAAATCATACTTGTTGAAAACATTCATTTCAAGTATAAGGAGATTCCCATCATCATCATTGTATTGCTTGTGAATATTATATTCAAAATTGTTATTAAATAGTATTGCAGTGCCCCTAGCATTTGATTTTCCTGGTGAAAAATATACATCAAAGCCCCAGAA